TCATTTCGTGCAAAAACGTGTCGAATTACCCTAATTTCATCAAAATCGGTGAGTAGACCCGTCTACTGCATAATTACAAAAAAACGTAACGAAAAGTAACAATTTTTTTATCGTTACTTTTAAGTAACGGTAACGCGTTAGTTTTTAGAATCAGTAACGAGTAACGGTAACGAGTTACTTTTTACCGAAAATAACGGTAACGGTAACGCGTTACTTTTAAAAAGTAACTTTCCCAACTCTGCTTCTTATGTATATATTGTAAGAAGGGGTTTCCCTTCTGAATAATACTTAAATGCTTGAATATATGTCAGGACCTTTTGATGACTACGTCTTGAAGACTTTTATTTTTATTTAAAATATTACAGATCGTAGGATTAATAGATTAAGTTCTTTATAAAGCTGTTGATTCCCTCGCCATTTTCATACGACAGTCCTTTCTTATTTTAACAAAACAAAACCAACTCTCAAAACATCCAACATTTACAGTGACAACTTATAGTAAGACATGTGTATAAACATAAGACATGTGTATTACCCTTAAGCATGAGACATGATGTCATTTCCCTATTGGAAATATAGGGAAATAACATCTTACAATATACACATGTCATTTGTGACCCAACGTAAATTTCGGAGTTATGCCAGTTAAAAGATACGCACGAATTGAGGCCGGTAACGCACAAAACTTGTTCTCTAGATACTAAACTTTTTTTAGGAATAAAAAAGAGACTGATATTTAATCAGAGCTCTTAGTATCAGTGATGCGAATTCCGGGCCGCTTGCAGTACGGTTACTAGCATGAAGAGAGCATAGACGGACACATAACGCATGCGCAAGTGTACACGGATATGAACTTATCGTAATGTATATATCTTCTTATGCCCTCTTCATGCTAGTAACCATGCTGCAAGCGGCCCGGAATTCGCATCACTGCTTAGTATTTCAAAGAAAAGAAATGCGCAGGACACGAATGACCCAGATCCAAATATTCAGTGTGTATTAAGGATTAAAGCAGAAAGTTTTTTGTTCTATATAATGAAAAGAGATATTATTTTTCAAACTTTCCTTCTTTATAACTTTTTAACGAATAACGAGCGATAGCTACAACTTGTTGGACGTTACTCAGGGTCATATGACAACATATGTCAAGGTCAAGGTCATTGGAGAGGTCTGCTCTAAAGTAAACATTTACCAATTGAAGTATTTGACTGAGGTATAGGACAAAGCGACACGGAACTTAGTGGAATGATGTATGAGAAAGGATACCTAATCTTGATATCTGGTGAGAAGAGGGTTATTAATAGTGGATTGAAGCTCAGAGTTTAACTGAAAGAGGTGTCACAGAAGAGTATTGGAGCGAAGGAGAAGGAATACAAGACAGCACAGGTGGAGTATAAAATATTGTCACATGCTAAGCCAATCAGATTTCTTGTAATACGGAGATATATGGTTATATTTACGAACGTAATAGCGGAGGCAAGAATTTTAGATACGCTGTTTTAGTTTGTTAATTAAGAGCCGGAACGTTGACGACATCGGCATAATCAAATAAAGACATAACGAGTAATTGAAAAGTGAGAAGTTTTTGAGAACAGAAAAAGATGTAGCGAAGGAAATAAAGGAGACGCAGACAGCAGCCCAACCATGTGTGACTCAAATGTCTATGAAGGTCATGGACACCAAGAATCTTATAGAGGAGGACCGAGAAATTGGTATGGAGTTAAGAACAATATTGAAGGATTGAATACCAGATGATAATGTTGAGGAACCGACAATTAGCAAGGATAATTTAGAAGGATTTAGATACAGCGCATTATTAATGGTCCGAAACTATCGATTGAGCGTACGTAGGACTTGATCGATTTAATCGTTATATCCAATAATCTCGATCCCTGGAACTCGCGATCTCGTGTAAAGGAACACGATAGCTGCGCTTGTAAAATACCTCCCTCAAAACAGAGAAGTTTTCCTCGACAGTGACAGACGGCACCAAAATATCATCTATGTACACCAAAACTTTGTCTTTTCGTATAAGAGGTTGAAAGATTTGAATCATCCTCTTTTGAAATTCGGCTGGAGCTTCACAATAACCGAAAGGAAGTTTTGTGTATTCAAATTGACCATCCGGGGTCGCAAATGCAAAATACTTCATATGTTCAGGATGAACATCAATTTGGTGAAAGCCATCTTTCAGATCTAGTAATGAGAAAACCTTTTTATTGCCAAGTCGAGAAAAACAATCCTCCATTAGAGGGAAAGGATATTTCTGTTTTACCACCCGTTCGTTTAAAGGACGTAAATCAACACAGAGACGCATCGAACCATTTTTCTTAATAACCGGTACGACTCTCGCACAATAGGGAGAGATACTAGGTTTTATGATACCTCTTTGTAGAAGATCATCTGTGATTTGACGAATCTGTGTTCTCTCAGCCCAAGCAAAACGTCTTGGTGAGTACGCGTAAATAGTATTGTCTTTAAGAGACACCGTAACAGCATATCCGTCATTAATTGGAGTAACATTCATGTTTTTAATTTCAAGAATTAACGATACTAATTTCGCATCAATTGCAGTCCCGAAATCCGTTACAAAATTCGATACATCTAAATCAGAAGAAATGTTAGATATTTCATCCACTTCGATAGAAGCAATTTCAGAAAAAAGTTGAAGCTTAGATGTTTTATTTCCAAAAGCTTCACAAACAATTATAATCTTATATGTTTGAAGGAAATCACGACCGAGAATCATGTCAACAAAAAGATCATCGTCCTCCAAAATATTAAAAGTAACCTTAAATGTTTTGTTTGGAAAAACAGCGAGTTGTAATACGGTTGAGATCTCTCCACGAACATTAATTGTGCTTTTATTAATAGCCTTAAAGGATCGTGACGGGATCCTCGTTTGTATAGATGAAATATCAACAAATCTTGATAAGACAGAAGGACGGAGAAAAGACACAGCGCTTCCAGTGTCAAGTAACGCATCTAAAGAGCAACTTAGATTATTCAAAGCGGTAACCTTAATTAAGTTATCGCCAATGCTCAAAGTTGATTCTGTGTCAATACACGCCACCAAAGAAGACTCGGACGACTGCGAAGATCGTGAAAACTTCGTTGGAGATAAGGGAGGAGAAGACTGCGTTGATGGAGGAGCCACCTCTTGAACTGTAGCAATAGAAGCAAGCTGGGAAGAGGATACGGGAGATGATTTGTACTGCTCCTTCTTCTTCAAACGAAAACAATCGTCTCGTGTATGTCCCTTAGAACGACAATAAACGCAGAAAACATCCTTAGCAGGTTCTGTTGTTAGACTGTCCTTTCCAGATTCTACAATTTCATTCTTAAGTTTAGTCTTGTCCGTGGATTTATTTACAAATGGTGGGGATTTATTGGAAGAATCTCCATATGCCAAGGTAAGAGAGTACATCCTGTCAAGGAATTGATCCAAATTCTCGGCTTGAATTAAAGATGCCATTCCTCTCAAAGAAGCGTTTCCAATTCCGGAAATAAGAAAATTAATGCTTTCCTTATCCGGGAGTCGAAGATTCTGCATAAGTTTTAATTTATGCATTGCATATTCCTGGAACGATTCCTTTGAAAAATTCCATTTACGATTATCAACTCTTTGAAAAATTACCTGATATGGAACTTCTCTTCGAAATCTCTTTGAAATGGCTTGTTTAAAACACAACCATGAATCATTAACTGAGCCAGAATATAAATCCAACCAATCTTTAGCGATTTTATTTAATTTATTACAGGCCGCTAAAAGTATTACCTCGTCAGAAACACCATGAATCCGCGAAACACGTTCTATCTTGTCAATCCATAATTCAATGTCCTCATCATCTTGACCAGAATAGCTTGGAAGCTGAGATGCCAAAAGATTGACTGCTTGAGCTACTGGTACTGAAGAAAGAATTGGACTTCGTTCACGAGTGATATTATTGGAAGAATCGCATGATGAACTCATAACTTGAGGAATCGTATTGTTTAATTGAACAGACGAGACCATTTGCGTGACTTGACGAATCAATTCATTCTGCTGCTTCATCATTTCTGTGAAAAAGCCAAACATTTGAGGCATCGAATGATCAGGAGCAGAAGAATAATTCCTTGGATTATTCGCATCATCCGCCTGATGATGAGTGCGTGACGTGGACGTCTCTGAGCTGCCGGAAACCGGTTGAAAATCCACCGCATCAACAAAATCATTATAAGGGCCATGATGCTCCAAATGGGACATTATTTGGTCGATTAAGCGCTCTCGAGTAGCCTGCGGCACGAGACCATAGCTGCGAACTTCTTTAATAAGATCCTCAATAGAAAGCGTATCCAAGCGACATCGATCCATAATAATCAAAGGCGTAATGTCACTAAGGAAAGAAATGGAAAAGGAAAAAAAAAACGCAGCGACTCGGAGCAGAAAGGCACGTCAAAGAGAGCAAGCTTCAGAAATTCTTGAAAATGGCTTTATATTCAGGTGAAGATAAAGCTTTATTTTTTGAGGCTTGAATCCGATTAATCCTCTTCGAATCCCACTTCTGAACTGTAAGAAGGGGTTTCCCTTCTGAATAATACTTAAATGCTTGAATATATGTCAGGACCTTTTGATGACTACGTCTTGAAGACTTTTATTTTTATTTAAAATATTACAGATCGTAGGATTAATAGATTAAGTTCTTTATAAAGCTGTTGATTCCCTCGCCATTTTCATACGACAGTCCTTTCTTATTTTAACAAAACAAAACCAACTCTCAAAACATCCAACATTTACAGTGACAACTTATAGTAAGACATGTGTATAAACATAAGACATGTGTATTACCCTTAAGCATGAGACATGATGTCATTTCCCTATTGGAAATATAGGGAAATAACATCTTACAATATGGTACACTTCCGAGCAGGTTTGGCGAATGAAACTTTTTTTACTATCGTCTGTAGTCTCTGAAATTGTTTTCTTGCTGTTAGATTTCACCACTGGGGCCCTATTCTTGAAATAGTTGCGTATACGTAAGTGGCAAGTTGCGAATACTCGCAATAGAAAATCCCTAGAACAGTATTCTAGACAGTCGTAAGTGCAACGTGTACGCAAAGTTTGCGTATACGATGCAACGAATGGGTCGTATTATATGTTTCAAGAGAAACGTGTACGTTTCATATTTAATGAAGATCAAAAACGACAATAAAGGCGAAAATAGATATGGATTTAGACGACATTATAATAAACGCACCGATTATGAATGCTGTAGAAAACATGGAAATCCCACAAAGAAGACGATTTCACTTTCGGGAAGATCCTTTCGAGGACCTAAGTGATCGACAATTTGTACAATTATTTCGATTAAACAAAGCTGCTACCACAAACTTAATAGAAATTGTCGAGCCATATTTGGTTCCTCAAACAAGAATATCTGCGATAAATTCTACAATAAAGGTAAATATTTTAAAGAAAAGAATTGTATATAGGTAAATATGTATGTACATATAATTTATATGTATATACCAGCGTTGGGTAGTGCTAAATTAAAAAGTTAAAAGTTCAGTTAAAAAGTTAAAAAGTTAATTAATTTTAACTTAACTTAGTTACATTTTAGACTCCTAACTTTTTAACTTTATTTAGTTA